CCCTGTCTCCATGTCTCTCCCTCTCGCTGTCTGTCTTGCTCTCTCTTACTCCCTGCCTGGGGCTGCAGAACCGCATGCACGAGTCCCTAATGCTCTTCGACTCCATCTGTAACAACAAGTTCTTCATCGATACCTCCATCATTCTCTTCCTCAACAAGAAAGATCTCTTTGGTGAGAAGATCAAGAAGTCACCTCTGACCATCTGCTTCCCTGAATACACAGGTGGGTTTCACGGCAGCCCCATGCAGGGGACAGCCTCGTCCTTGCGAGGAACCTGGGCCTCAGGGAGTGAGCGGTCCAGCAACTGCAAGAGCCTGGCAGGGGTGCAGCGGTGTGCTGGGGCACGACCAGGACGACCCCGAGTGTGGTGGGAAATGGCCCTCCTGAGCCTCAGTGTTGTGACCAAGTGACTCAGGAGTGACATGGCAGGAACCAGGGGCAGGACAGGACCACAGGCTTCCCGTTCCCCTTTTCTCCCGGTCACCCTGTAGGAGAGGTCTCAAGACCTAGCAAGAGAGTCTCCCGTCTCACCAGTGGCCTCCCTCTATTCCCCATGTAGGCTGCTGCTGGGCCACAAAGCACCTTTGCATGAATTAGAAAAGATGGATGCATGGCCTGGGAGTGGGGTCTGGGCTGCAGCCTCCCCTGGGTCCCTGCTACCTGCTTTGCTACAGGGCTACTGACCTGTGTGCGGCCGGCCATCCCACCCATCAGACCTGCTCTCTCTCTCTCTCCCTCCGAGCCTGGTCTTTTCCCAAAATCAAACCACTCCAACTATCTGCAAGCCTCCCTCTGCCTTCTCTGGGGCTTTTTTTTTTTTTCTTATCTAACTCTGGGGGGAATGTACCACAGGCTCCCCACAATGCCGCTCCTCCCGAGTGGGTGGATGAGGGAAGGAGGCTGCTACTAGAGGCCAGAAGCAGAGCTTTGGGGACTAGGAAACTTCTAGGAGTCCCTAGAGTGGAGTTGGCTGAGGACAGCAGGGGGGCACAGCCTGCAGTGGAAGAAGTCGTGTCCTGCCATCCCTCCAGCTAAGGGCACAAGTGACGCAGCCATGGAGTGAGACTATGGGTGTCGGCTCAGGTCCCAGGGCTACAGATGCCCCTAAACCCAGCCAGAGGGCCCCCAAGTTCCAGGCAGACATGCTGGCCCTCCACCCGACCCACTACCGAGAGGAGAGTGGAGACGGCCCGTTTGCCTGCTCGGGTGCTCCGCGCTGCTTGTGAGTTTCCAAGGGCCTGCCCATCCAGGGTGCCTGCAGTCGGAGGTGGGGACTGTGCTCTGCCCTCCAGGCCCCCAGGCCCAGGAGGTCCAGAGCAGAGTCCACATGGCAGACAGCTCCTGTAGCCCCTGGAGCAGAGTCCCTACAACTCTGGGCAAGCGACTCCATCACCTGGGCTTGGTGGGCACCTGGTGTCAGGTCTGCGTAACTACCGGACATGGCTGTCCTTAGTTCTCATGCAGAGAATGGAAACCAAGGGGAAGGGGAACTGACCACTGAGGGGGCACCTTCTGCAGGGTGGAGTAAATGACCGCGGATGCGGGATGGTCCCCAAAGCCCAGTCCGGCCTGCCCCAGGGTCGAGGGCTCTGCCCCAGGCAGAGCCGGGCTGCAGCCCAGCCTCTCCTGCCTCAGCGG